GTGATGGGCCACCATAGCAACAGAGTAAAATAAAATAAAGTAGGTGTCCATTTCAACTACTGCTACCACCATAAAGTTGTCCATCAAATTGAGTTCAGTTATCTCAGGGTTGTGTTCACAAGTGACAGCAACAAGGAGGCAGAAATAAATAACGATATGCGAGCTATCCCGATTCGGAATTGTGAAGAAAGAGCCAAAGGGTTCGCTGCTTCCAGGTCCGCCTCCATAGGCACTATTACCTATGGCCATGAGTGCTGAATATTGACCCGAAGAGTGAAACCCAGGATATAAGTAACGAAAATGAGGTTCTTTAAAACAGTTGATCAAGTGAGGGGACTCGATGAGATTCAGAACAGAGAAACATGAAATAGCTTTACTCATGAGTCGCTTCTGCAGATCAAGTGATCACGAATCCGATGGCTTGAACATGTGATCAAAATGACAACTGAGAGATTCGTAACGTAGATTTTCTGACAGAGTTACGTGGAAGACGGTCAAGTAGAAGACAGAGGACCAGACGGATCGATTGTATTCATTTAATTGCATCATCGCGCTCAACAATGTAAGTCACGAAGCCTGGCGATTGGCACCACCACAGGAGGAACTTTTGCTTACACAGCTACCATGACCCAAAGAAATAGTGGGCTTGGAAAATTAATTAATAGATTCGTAACTAATGTGCCAGAATGTATAAATTCTATGAGCAGGGGTAATCGCCAGGGTAAAGGCCACCGATCACTGCAGGAATGACGTCCACCATTAATACCCAAATCATTTGTATTTCCATCCTCAATTCCTAATATTTCAGTACCGTTGTTCTCCCAGGAGTGGGACCGTTTTGGTGTAAGTTGAGACGGTGATGCTGCTCACCACTCGCCAGTGGTATCTTTCCGCCACCAAACCTCACGCAGTGCTACACTTCCGAAGGGATGCATCTGTTGCGCTGAACGTTAGCAGAGCTTCACGAAGGGACACCTCAAATGATATGCCAGGTAGTTACTCGCCGAAGTCCCTTAGACATCACCAGAAACCAAAAAAATAGAGACAGACTACCGCGTCGACCTGAACAACCCCTACGACTTGGCAAACTGAACGACGCGTTTGGCAAACGGACCCGGAGCGTCATCAAAATATTCGTGTCTAGCCATACCGCATTTTTGTGACGCTTACATGATCAAAATGGAGAAACTGAAGGCGGACGAAAATGCAATATGAGAGACCCCAAGGTCTATTCAAATTATTGCGCAATGTAACAACGGGGACAACATTTTTCTAGGAAATGCCTTCGATAACCGAGCTTGGACTGGCATATTATATCATTTCGTATAGCAATTCCACCTCTATAGATGGACGAAAGCAGAACAATAAAATAACAGGTTAAAAGCCTAACCCAACATTCTGAAAATGAATAGATCGAGCAATTCCATGAGAAATTCGAAGGCGCGATGAAGAATAAGACTACGTAGACGATGGTCCGAGGTAACTTCAGTGCAAGGCTCGGGAAGAAACCGAACTTCGGAAAAGGCGAGAGAAATGAACGGTCAGATCGCTTCGCAAATTTCGCTGAAAGCAACAACCTCCGTGTAATGAACACCGTTTTCCAGAAAGTTCCAAAGCGACTTTAGACTCGAGGACACTCAGACAGAAAGTTTTTGAACCACGTCGACTAATTAGTGACTGACAAGAAACGAATAATACCAGAGCTGTCGGTCATAAGCGCGAATTCATCTGGATCGGGTCAGATTATAGGTTTTTATTTTCCACAGTTACAGTCAGTGTCGTAAAAGGGCGTGAGGATCACCGTTTTGGGGAGAATTACACTTCAATCTGGAGACTTTCGAAGAGAATATGATATTAATGAACTTTGAAATGAACATAAGTGAAGGAATAAAGCAAATTATGACCATTTTCTCAATTCTATCAAGGTAGCAAAATCGGTGAGGAACAAACGAATTGGTCCTTCAATGGAGCAGCAAATGGCTACAAGAGTTCAAATGAAGGTTGAGTACAAAAATTACAGGGTAGTTCAATGGAGAGATGCTACAGAGCAGAAAAAAGGTTTTGCCATCTAGTGGTGAACCGACATATTTGCCAAAACAACTGATTCCGAGTACACTGAAAGACCAAGGAAAATTAATAACTGCTAATCACGGTCAGATAAACGCGATCTACGCAAAGTTTTACAACTACCCACACTTTTCCAAAGTAGAGGTGAATCAGAATTTGCCACACGTTGCGGCAAGAGCCATTCGTGAGGTAACTTGGGGCAAATTTCAAATCAGAAACCGTAAAATGACAAATGTTTAGGCCAGGACAGTATGAGGCCATAACACCATGAAGCTGGAAAAAAAATCCTGCTCAAAGCGCGTTCGAAACGTTTTACGGAATGCATAAAGCAAAACACAAAGCACAAGACATCCACATCAACAACGCTTTTTTTAGTTTTTCAGTTGTAGAATTTTAAGTGCCTTTGTTGGCTGCTGTTCCGTATTCCCTCCGCCTTGTTTCATAGTGTATTTGTGGCGTGTGATTTTTTATTTGTACTGGGAAACTGTATTATTATTATCATCAATCATTTTATACTTCAGATTCTATTTTCAATTTTCTTGTTCTGATAACAAACTGACCCAATTTTCGTCCAGCATGAATCTCTTCGACTCCGGATCGTCTCGCTATTGCTGTCACAATGCACGGCTGAAGCAGCAGCACATGCAAACCATAGCAATGTTGCCAGTGCCACTCTACGAAGAATTCGTCGTCACGCCTCAATCGATTCTTCAGTACCACGCGTCGTTACGTACAGGCCGCTAAGGTGAATGGCAAGAAGCGTTCAAATGTCACTCCACAGCCTAAATGGCAGTTGCCTTTGTTCTGTCAGCCAGCT